CAAAAGTCCATTCATCCGTCGTTAGTTTAGGATAAATATGAGTGATTGGTTGTTGAGACAACTGAACCACTCGATGCCTCCTCGACTCTAAGTCCGCGTGATAATGAACTCCGTCGGTTTGTTCCAAGGCCTTAGCCATTTGGCGAGCGCGGCGTTGACGTTGTCTCTGACGAGTTCTTTTCGTCAGTGCTGGCGGGCTTTGATTCAATAACTCTTTAACTGGAGAAGAGTCATTGTGAGCAGAGATGTTGCGAGTAGAATTCTTAGCAACAATTGGACAAGAGTCTTCATCCGTAGCATTTGACAACTTAAAAAGCTTCAACGAAGATGAAATCTTCCTGCATTTGCGAGGCGAGGAAGACTTTGTAGATGAGGATGATAAGTATTCCTCAAACTTCGTTTGGTCGAACTCGTACTCAACCGTAGAATTCTTAGCAACAATTGGACAAGAGTCTTCATCCGTAGCATTTGACAACTTAAAAAGCTTCAACGAAGATGAAATCTTCCTGCATTTGCGAGGCGAGGAAGACTTTGTAGATGAGGATGATAAGTATTCCTCAAACTTCGTTTGGTCGAACTCGTACTCAACCGTTGATTCAATCGGGATCTTGATCGGCTGCGATACGACGGTCTCGGTAACGAGACCGTTGGCTCCCACTGTGGTCGCCAGTTTGTTTGCGTCAAAAGTTGCTCTTGTTGTGGAATTCATTATATCTTCAGTTGATTATAACAAATTCAAAAGAAATAGCCTTTTTATAAGACTTGTTTTACACAACAAAATGAAAATTACAACTTCTTAGAAACAAACGCAGGATCGTTGCTTGGATCGCTGCTTGCATGGGATCTTTGCCTGTGCCGGGAGTGCTTTGACTCGTGGACCACCAAATCACAGATTCTGATTGAATCTTGAGGGGTTAAGTGATTCTTTCTTCGTTTATCGAAGTGAGAATTTGAAACGATATCTTATCAAAGTAAGATAGTCGTTCTTCTTAAGATCAAGTCAAAGCTCGAATCTCAAGGAATTGCTAGAAGCTCAGGAACTCTGCTCTGTCTGCTCCAAAGTGCTCAAAAATCATCAGCCCCCTTCAAAAATCGATCTCAGGGGGTATTTATAGCCTCCAGGATGAACAGTGCTTCCGAGACAGTGTTTACTGTCTCGGTGGTCGAGACAGCAAAGACTGTCTCGGGTTCCGAGACAGTAAACACTGTCTCGGGTTCCGAGATAGTAAATGCTGTCTCAGAAATCCTCAACCGCCCAGCAGTTTTCTTGTAACTGCCTTCCCACGTTTTACAACTCCGTTATTTTGGCAGTTGTCAACGTGATTCTCGCCCACAACGTTCCATGTTCTTTGCCAGTAATGGCCACGTGTCGGCGGTTTATAAAATAGTTTCTGAGCCTTCCGAGAACTGTCTCGCTCTGCGAGATAGTAAACACTGTCTCGCTCTGTGAGACAGTGACACTGTCTCGCACGGCGAGAACAGTAAAGATGTCTCCGCGGGCGAGACAGTAAAGTCTGTCTTTTTTTCTTGATTTTTCGATAATCTCCTTTTGAGCTACGCTTGGATATCTTTCAGCATTTTTTTTGACGGGCCTACAACACCCAAGCAGCGCACGTTACGAGCGGGGACAGCGCTTCTACAGTTTTCTCCACACACACACCTCTCTCTCTCATCTCTTCTCTCATTCTCTTATATTATATATTATATATATATATATATATTTATTATGTATAGTATATATATTATATATGTTTGTATATATAAAATAATGTATTATATTAAATATATTGATCTTATATTATATTAATTATTATATAGTATATCATGCTAATACAATATAATATAACATAATATAATGTAATATAATAATTAATAATATTAATTAGTAATTATAGTACGCCATATTATATTTTAATTTAAAGTAAAATAATATTTAAAATATAATAATATACTAAATAATATACTAAAATAATTGGATAAGTTAATTTATAAGTAGTTAATAGATAAAATTATATTTTAATAAGGTCCACATCATCAATTATTCCACATAAATTATCAAATCAAAGGTTCAAATTGTCTCATTATCCCACTTATCCTACTTACCCCATTCAAAATATCCCAAAGGGATAAAATTGTTCCATTAGAACAATTTTTCCACTTGACCCTAATTTGTCCCAACCAATAACCCCCTTAGTCTGAATGTTAATCCGTCTAAAAATAAACGTTAGACTCGACTAAAATAATCTGAGATTCTAATCCAAGATTATAGTCCCACTGCTCCCAAGATAAAAAACAAAAGAGGGCTTTCTGGTTAATCAAAAGATAAGTTCTAGTTAAGAAAGGAAACTAGCTAAGATTGACGTCAAGGAAAAAAAAAGGAAAATAAAAATAACATAAAAAATAAAAGGGAAAAATGCTTCCAGCCCCCAAAAGCTAATGAAACGTGCTTCCCACTCTCAATGGGTGTTTTACCCAAAAAAAAAAAGATTCTGTTCTCTGAGCTCCCAAAACACAAAACCCAAGAGATTAAAATATGTGAAGACCATAATACCCTTCTCCCTCAATGAGGATTATTTTATTATTTTTGTTTTCTCTCTCTTTATCATAATGTACTAAGATGATAGTTACAATGATTGATGATGATTATTTTATTATTTTTGTTTTTTATTATTTTTGTTGTTTGTATTGGGAGATTGTTAAAGTTACGTGTTAATTGTTAAGGTTACGAGTTAATTGTTAATGTTACGGGTCAATTGTTAAGGTTATGAATCCTCTCTCTCTCTCTCTCTCTCTCTCTCTATCATGATGTTACTTTGATGATAGTGAAATGATTGAAGAGGATTATTATTTTATTATTTTTGTTTTTTATTCTTTTCGTATTTTTAGAATATTCGTTGTTAAGGATAATGGTTGGTTGTAAATGTTATGCATTGATTGTTAAGGTTACGAGTTGGTTGTTAAGGTTACGGGTTTGTTGTTAAGGTTATGGGTTTGTTGTGTATGTTACGGATTTATTGTTAAGGTTACGGGTTTAATTGTTAAGATTACTGGTTTAATTGTTAAGGTTACGTGTTTAATTGTTAATGTTACGGGTTTAATTGTTACGGTTACAGTTTAATTGTTAAGGTTACGGTTTAATTGTTAAGGTTATGGGTTTAATTGTTAAGGTTACATGTTTAATTATTACGGTTACGTGTTTAATTGTTATGGTTACGGGTTTAATTGTTAAGGTTACGTATTTAATTGTTAAGGTTACGAGTTAATTATTAAGGTTACGGGTTTAATTGTTAAGGTTACGAGTTTAATTGTTAAGGTTACGGGTCAATTGTTAAGGTTATGGATCCCTTCTCTCTCTCGTAACCTTAACAATTAAACCGTAACCTTAACAATTAAACTGTAACCTTAACAATTAAATCCATAACCTTAACAATTAAACCGTAACCTTAACAATTAAACCGTAACCTTAACAATGAAACCCGTAACCTTAACAATTAAAACATTAACCTTAACAATTAAACCCGTAACTGTAACAATTAAACCCGTAACCTTAACAATTAAACCGTAACCGTAACAATTAAACCCGTAACCTTGACAATTAAACACGTAACCTTAACAATTAAACCCGTAACCTTAACAATTAAACCCGTAACTTTAACAACAAATCCGTAACCTACACAACAAACCCATAACCTTAACAACAAACCTGTAACCTTAACAACCAACCCGTAACCTTAACAAACAATGCATAACCTTTACAACCAACCATTATGCTTAACAACAAATATTCTAAAAATATGAAAAGAATAAAAAACGAAAATAATAAAATAATAATCCTCTTCAATCATTTCAATATCATCAAAGTAACATCATGATAGAGAGAGATAGATAGATAGATAGAGAGAGAGAGAGGATTCATAACCTTAACAATTGACCCGTAACATTAACAATTAACTCGTAACCTTAACAATTAACCCGTAACTTTAACAATATCTCAATACAAACAACGAAAATAATAAAAAACAAAAATAATAAAATAATAATCCTCTTCAATCATTTCAATATCATCAAAGTAACATCATGATAGAGAGAGAGAGAGATAGATAGATAGATAGAGAGAGAGGGGGGGGATTCATAACCTTGACAATTGACCCGTAACATTAACAATTAACTCGTAATCTTAACAATTAACCCGTAACTTTAACAATCTCCCAATACAAATAACGAAAATAATAAAAAACAAAAATAATAAAATAATCATCATCAATCATTTTAACTATCATCTTAGTACATTATGATAAAGAGAGAGAAAATGAAAATAATAAAATAATCCTAATCATATTTTAATAAAAAAAGAAAGAGAGAGAGAATGGTATTATGGTCTTCACATATTTTAATCTTTTGAGTTTTGTGTTTTGGGGCTTAGAGAACAGAATCTTTATTTTTAGGGGTAAAACATCTATTGACCAAGTCTTAAGGATGGGAAACACGTTTCCTTAGCTTTTAGGGGCCGGAAGCATTTTTCCCAAAATAAAAACGATCCCCACTTCTTGCTCTTTTCGTTTTCCCCTTGGTTTTTGTGGGAGATGAATCAGAGAGAAGCTGGAGCCCACAGCTACGTCTCTTGACTGCTGGGCTGCCTTACAAAGGCTCCTTCAGTCTCTCTCTCTCTCGCCTATCTTAGACGTATATATTTTCAATGTGTCCAGCCGTCCAGGTTAGCTTGCAGCAAGCCTTAGGGCTTGTTTGGATTGAGGTGAATGAGGGTGAAGGGAAGTTAGGGGAACCATTCACCTCCATTCATCTTGTTTGGGAACACTTAGAAGGTGAAGTTAATTCACCTCCATTCACCTCCATTCACCCCCTAATAGTATAAAAATTGTTACCCCTCAAATTGGGGTGTAACCAAGGGGAAGGGAACTCCCTTCCCTTCCCTTCCCTTCACTTCACTCAGTTTCCCTTAACTTCCCTTCACCCCCTGCAAATCCAAACAGGCCCTTAAGAGAGACGACTAGCTGTGTTGATTCTCTCCAAGCTTTTTTTTTTCTCTCCATTGCAGCTCAAAATCCAAACCTTGGGCTGAAACAAAAGAGACCTTTCTCTCTCTCTCTCTCTCTAAGTAATCCAATCCAGTTTCTCTCTCTAGTTGTTAGTTTTTGTGTGGGGGATAGTGAGAGAGTCTCTCTCTCTCTCTATGTATATATATATGTGATTTGATTGATCTTCAGTCTTCAGATCTGAGGCCCATCCTCACATGGACTGCCCCTTTTCCTTAGATCCTCGTCCCCATCACCCATCCCTCTGGATATAATTTCGCATACCAAATTCAAAACCCAACTCCCCCAAAATCAAAGCTAAATAAAAGTTAAGCTCTTTCGCTACTATTTTCTCTTCTCAGGAATTTTCCCCTCTGCTTTCGCTTCGTGGGTTCTTTTATTTCTTGAAGAAAGGGAAGGGAACCGGGTCTCTCTTATTTGACTTCTTGATTAAGATTTCCTCTCTTTCCACCCTTACAGATACGAGGCTTACTGTAACCATCAAAAGACCGATATCTAATGTCGAGAACAAGGAGGCGGTTGTGGGGGAGATGAGGGATGTTATCGCGGCTCTTGGACCTTCTGCGGGCCTGCTGGGGCCCGGCTTCGGGCCGGAATGGGCCGGCGGCCCCGGATTCCTTGGGCCACCAAGATGGGCTGCTGTGGTACAAGGACTCTGGCCACCACGTCAGCGGGGACTTCTCCATGGCTGTGGTCCAAGCTAACAACCTTCTGGAGGACCAAAGCCAGCTTGAATCCGGTTCTCTGAGCTTGCTGGAGTCCGGACCCTCCGGAACTTTCGTTGGGATTTATGACGGGCACGGAGGCCCCGAGACGTCGAGATACATCAATGACCATCTCTACGGTCACATTAAAAGTAAGTGCTTCGGTAGTTCGTTCGTGTTTAATTTGATGTAATAAACGTTGTGTGTGTTTGAACTGTATCCTGCTTTTGCGATATAAATCATGCATAGATGGCACAGGATGCACCGACTAGGAGTTGTGATAGATTATGATCAACGGAGCGAGGAGGATTTGAGGTGGACCTGAAGAATTTGGTTGGAAACGATTAATTAAGATAAGTAGGATTCATGTAGCTGACCCCGGAAAAAAAATTTTGGGATAAAGTCTTTGTTGTTGTTGTAAAATAGTGCAATTTTTGGCCCATGAGAAGGGCCCTCAACCTGAATGAATAATGTTAGAACATAATAATAACCCTCAACCCCCATCATAACTTGAGATTTTTGGTGTAATGGAAGAGACTCTGAAAAGGCGACAAGATTGTTGTAGTACACAAGGTTTTTGATACTTCCTGCATGACATATGGTTATATATTTTTGCACAGATAAATGGTCATCTAGTTGCTAGTGCATATTTCTTATCTCCTCAGCTCTAGTGTGCTGCGCTCTAAAGTATAAATTGACTTGCAGGATTCACAACTGAGCAGCAATCAATGTCAGCTGATGTGATAAGAAAAGCTTTTCAAGCAACGGAGGATGGATTCCTGTCATTGGTTACAAAACAATGGCCCTTGAAGCCTCAGATGGCTGCTGTTGGTTCTTGTTGCCTAGTTGGCATAGTCACTGGTGGGACTCTTTACGTTGCTAACCTTGGAGATTCCCGTGTTGTTTTAGGGAGAGTGGTCAAGGCAACTAGGGAGGTTTTAGCAGTCCAGCTGTCTACTGAGCACAATGCAAGCATCGAGTCAGTTAGACAAGAACTACGTTCATTGCATCCAGATGATCCTCAAATTGTAGTTCTGAAGCACAATGTATGGCGCGTAAAGGGAATCATTCAGGTAGTCCACTACCATGTAATTAGGGGTGTTTTTGACAAATTCAAAGTGAACTGAAAGTGTGAGAGTTACTTTTTCTTTTACAAGCGACCTCCACATCCATGTCAGCATGCGAGTGAAATAAAATGTTGGTTTGCAAAATCAAATTATTTTGAAAGTACAAAAGTGAAGATGTGGCAAATTAAGATTCATTAGTAAATATAATTAAAGCCATTTAAGTAAAAGTTGTCCCCTTTTTCCATTTACATGTCACCTCCAACAATTTTTAGGGAAAGTTCAAATTGCATTAAATCTGTTGTGGCAACTGTTTTGCATTTCCTTTTCACAACTGATTGCATGCAAACAAACACTTAAATGCTCAAAGTGAATCACTTTTTCACTTTCATTTTTCACTTGATGAAAGTAAACACCCCGTTATGTTGTTTTTCTATTATTTGTAAAATACAAACTTAGCAAAACACACATTTTATGTTAAGGCCTTTTCTTATGATTGTCAATTTTCTTATACATGCCTAAGTTGCATGTGTAGGGGAAGGGGACACGACAAATTTGTAAATGGTAGGGTATGTGGACACTGCTATATATGTATGCAATGTATATTTATATGTATTAATATTAATAATTTACATAAGATCAACATTATTATTTTTATATGCATAAGTTTATATATAATAAATAGATGTGAAGTGTAGAATATACGTCCAACAAGTGTGAGGATTGCTTTGAATTAGAACATATAATATATAATTGAGTATACACCTGAATAAACTATTCAAGAAGAGTCCCAAGAAGTTTCGGTATGGGTACAAGTATCATCAGGTATGTGACGGGTACGGGTACAAAATCCGATTTGAAGTACCCAGGTAATATAGATGCTTGCAGATTTTTTGTTGTGGTGCAAGTTACTAGTTGTAAAATACTTTTGATTTTCAATTTTCAGATATTTTAACATTATACAAGAAAATACCTGTCCTAGACTCCTAGTAGCCTTTTCTTTTCCTCTGAATAATTGTTGTAAAGTCACCTAAGAGTAGAAATAAATATATAGGAATTGAGAGGGTATACCGATGAATAAGAAAAGAGGAAGGGTGGAGAAAGAGAATAGCAAGAGCATCTTCGTTCTGTACTTGGGAGTCTTTTTTACTGTCAACATGACATCGCTTGGTTCAGTCTTCGATTTGAAAACTTCAAAAAGGTGGGTTCAATGTTTAGTGTTTTAAGTGAACTAGAATTCAGTTCTGGAGACTGGCGAATAGTTTAAATGATTCAATGCTAGATTTCTCAGATGCAAGGATAGCAAATAGGGTTTCAAGGTTTATGGAGGTTTTAAGCTGAGAGTAAGAACTATTGCTTTCTTCAGCACATGCCATTTATAGAAATAGATGGTTACAATGTAAAAGGAATTTTAGGGTACTAAGACTGCTGAAATAAATTAGTCCAAATAAAGTTGTAGGGATGAGTTAAGGATGAGAGAAGGAAACTGGGAAAGGAAAGGAGAAAAAGAACATAAAAAGATCTTTGCACTCTTTCGGTCTTTGCAAATTCCTAACAAAAGATGGCTAGCGCGACTCTAGTCATACTTAAAATAGATCACCTGAAAGAAGAAGAGGGTGACACAACAAGCAAATAAACAAGGAGCTTAGAATCAGAACATCCATACTTCCAGGCCTTTGGTTAAGGCTTTATATACCCAGAAAGTAACCCTCATTGTAGTAGCCCTCATTTGAGAGAACCAACTTCTACCAAACCAAAAATTGAAGTACCCCCACTGTTGGCACGCAAGAAATGAAACAGGAAAGAGGTAATATGATAGAGGTAAAACATTGAAATACCCCCTCTCCTTCCATATAATCTAAGGTTCTCACTGGAAACGAATGAACTGAAAGCTTCCACACTGTCTGTAAGGGTAATGAAAGAGCTAACGTCAAATCAATAGTTAAGGGGAAGTTGCTATCTTGACTATATTGTGCATGTTAGTAACTCCTGTGAATGGGGACAAATGTAATGATGACAGAACACCACCTTGAAGCTAATTCCACTAGTTTTTGGTTGGTTCATAGGAGTTAATATGGACTTAGTCCTTAACTTCATCCTAACTCCCTTTTCCAAATAAGATCAATGTAATAAGTATGCTTCTCAAGCTTAACATTCAGTTCCAATATTGCTTCATTGTCGTCATCAAGCTCCATGAATTTTTCAGTCAGTCCGTAGAAACGCAAATCAAAAAAAATATTTTGGGCAGAACAATCTAGAACAGTGAATTAGATCATAGGGCTTATGCGATATTCACGGTCTCTAGACATCTGCTTGCTCACTTAGGAGTATTAACTCCTAAGTTGCCTGGAAATGGAAACGGCTATGGGTACGGGTAAGGGACACAGCTAATTTGTAAAAGGTAGGGTTTGGGGTCACTACTACATAAATGTTTATATACACATACATATATTATATATTGACATTGATATTTTACATGGGACCAATATTATTTGCCATCTGTTACGAGAATTAAAACACTTATCCTTTAAAATAATAGTTTGAAATCCAACCTATGTCCAATGAGTTTTAGGAAGTGGATGTGAAGTGTAGGAGATGTGTCCAAGAAGTGTACGAGAGATGTTTAAACTTAAACATATATTGCATAAGTGAGCATATACCCGAATAAATGTATCCATACATGCAAGGAGTGTCCGAGGAGTTTGGGTACGGATACGGGTAATTGTCGGGTATGTGTACTGCTTCAGTCAGGAGTATGAAGGTAACATAGAGTAACTCTATCTTTATTAACAAATCCTTGTGGAACTTTAATCTAATCTACACTATGGAACTCTTAGTTTTGAGTTTTGTAAAGATGTTAGAGTCAGTATCCAAAAGTGGATATTCCACATGAGGGGGAAAATTTTTTGGTGCATCTATGGTGGTATTGTATTTTCTTAATCAAATCTTTATGATTACACAAAGTTTGCTGTCGTGTAAACTAGAGCGTTCTCAGGTTAACTTTATTTCACATGGTTTATTGGATTTACCATTAACAGTACATTAATCTCATAAAAATATTCTATTCTTGTAGATATCTAGGTCGATTGGTGATGTCTACCTAAAGAAGACAGAGTTTAATAGAGAGCCTTTGCTGGCAAAGTTTCGCCTGCGGGATCCTATCAAGAGGCCAATCCTGAGTTGTGAGCCATCGATCACTGTGCAACCACTGATGCCTCAAGATCAGTTTCTGATCTTTGCCTCAGATGGTCTCTGGGAGCACCTTAGCAACCAGGAAGCAGTTGACATTGTTCAGAAACATCCTCGTAATGTGAGCTTTTCTCAGCCTTATCTTTTTTAATTTTCATGAACATCAAGACTAGAAGAATTGGCTTTAGAATTCGTTGACTTACTGCATTCTTGAATCAAACTTTGAAATGTAGATGGAAAGATCATTATGGTTAATAAGCTTAAAGTACAGCAGCACAGCTGTTCTTTACTTACTGTGCTACATGTCATTTGTCATTGTTTCTTGTTTCATATGCGGCTGCTATGCTTATATGTTAGATCTGTTAATTTAATTGGTTTGTTATATTAGTCCCTCAAACATTTTATATTCTGAAATTAGTCAACTCATTGACATTGTAATTAGGTCCCTCAATTCTCAAGTTTTTTTGAAATTCCCCTGAAATCATTAAAATTTCTATTTGGTTTCCCAACTCTCTTAAATTGCTTCAAATTAATTCCTGTAATTGCTACTTCTGCTAGACTTAATTGGAGGGACTAATTTCAAATCAACTTACGAATTGGGGGACCTCATAGCAATTTCAATGATTAATGGGACTAATTCCAAAATAGGAAAGATTTAGGCACTAATATACAACAAACAACAACAACCAAGTCTTTATCCCAAATGTTTAGGGAATCATGAATTCTATTTTCCCATTCCATTTTGTTATGTGTCATCTCCTCCGTTAAGTTATTCTTAATCATATCATTCTTAATTGTTTTTAACCAAATCATTCTAGGTCTATCTCTAGATCTCCTAATCGGTGCACTAAGGGCTCTCCGTTGTGCATGACCAAGCCATCTTAATCTATTCTCTCTCATTTTATTCTCAATAGACGCAACCTCTAATTTACTACGGATGCACTCATTTCTTGTCCTATCTTTTGATGTATACCCATAAGGCTATTTAGGGCACTAATATAAATAAATAAATAAAAATTCCTTGCTATCAATTGTAAAATGTGTGTGGTCTGTTGAAAGCTATTTACTCTCTATATTACACTTAAAACTTTGCATTTATGTCAATATCTAAGATATTAAGGACATATAGAACAGATACATGGTCTTAAGCCCCCCACCCCCCCCCCCACCCCTCTTTTTTCTTTTACCCTGAAATTCTTGCAGCGTCTACGGCCAAACCTGTCAATTTTATTTATTGATGACAGGAATAGTCATTAAAAGCTTACAAAAAAAAGAATGGGTTCCCAAAATTTTTTGAACATGTGAAATAGCAGGATATTATAACACTATCCTGTAACAAAGAAACCGAAAACATGTCCGAAAATCTTCGAGATTCCAAAAGAAAAGAAAATATATGAAACTAGCCCAAGTCTGACCTGCTCCTCAAACTGGTTACTCATACTTTTTTTTCTGATATGATGCGAACCCCAAGAATTATCTAGAAGAGCCAATTTAACATCCTGTAATCCAAAGCATTATAATAAAACTCAACCTTATTTGTCAAACCATGAGCTGCCAATCTATCTGCGACATAGTTTGCTTCTCTGAACATATGCTAGATAAAATAATACATATTCTCTAGAGTAATGACATGGTTATCCTAGATGTCCACTAAAACTTGAAATGTTTTGCACGGATAACTTATTGTGCTGCTGAGCTCAATGGAAAATGATGATTTATGTAGAATGGTCCTGTTGATATTTTTCTTCCCTGCTCCCTTAGATTACGTCAAGAAAGTGCAACATATTTGATCTTCTTTTGCATCTGAGCATACAGGCTTTAGATTCCTCCCTTAATGAGTAATTAATAGCTAAAATCAAACCTTTCATGAGTTAAAAGTATTCAAGCTTCTCTGGATATATGCAGGGAAGTGCCCGGAGGCTTGTAAAAACTGCATTGCAAGAGGCAGCGAAGAAGAGGGAGATGAGGTACTCTGATCTCAACAAGATAGACAGAGGGGTTCGTCGCCATTTTCATGACGACATCACCGTTATCGTTCTGTTTCTTGATACAAATTTTTTAAGCAAGGCCACCTCAAATAGCAATAAAGTCTGCTCTGTTTCTATAAAAGGGGGCGGTATCACTCTGCCTTCAAATTCTCTTGCACCATGCACAATTCCTGCAGGAGCTTAGTAGCTCAAATTGAGAATTGTATATCATGTTTGAGTCAAGGAAGGGGTAGTGGTGGATACTTTTACTTATTTCGTTTACTACGCTGTAACATTTGGATTGACAGTTCGTCACGTCTCATGTTTTAAGAAAACAGGTGACACTCAGGGTTATATATCAGGCTGTTTGTTATTTTCCTTTTTCTCTTATGTTAATTTGGCGCGCAAATCACCGAGGGAAGTGATTTGGGTTTGTAAATTGAGCGATTGAGAACCTTCTCTTGAAGTTTATACTCTCCACTACCCTTGTGTTTGTTGGTTATTATTGTTTCAGTCTCTACATGACTGTTATGGTGACAGGCTTATAAAGTGATGAATTAGAGAGTGGAGCGTAATAGAATTTTTTCCCCCCTGTATATAGGAAGAGTATCGAGATGGAGACAGTAGAGTTTAGTCGTGGTAGAAATGAGAATTCTATGAACAAGGGTTGTTTTAGTTCGAGCAACCGTGGAGCATTTTTGCAAAGCCTTTAAAGAACAGTTCTAAGTAAGAACGCAAAATAATCGAAGCAAAGCAAGTGGGAGAGTAAAAGAACTAAAGTGCAGGGTAGAGCGTTAAAAAAAAGGGGTGAATCTCACGAAACTATCATGAACTAATAATATTATGCAAACTATACTGTTTTTATAATAAGAACATCAACACCATAAAATTCAAGCTTACGTACTGTCAAAAATACTACTAATGAATTGGACAACATTAAAGTCTGTAGTTTTCGCAAAGGAAAACTCCTCAGGGACCCCAAAATAGGGGACCCCTGAGGGGACAGGTGAGGTGTCAGCCCCTGGAGGCTTGATGCACTGTTCAGGGGTCCCCTATTTGGGGCCCCTGTAGCAACACCCTTTGGGGAATTTACTCAAATAATGGCCGGCATAAAATTCTGCACCAGAGCTCTAGGGCTGGCCTTTGCTGCGGGTATCATCATGTCACAAGCAGCGGAGAAGGCCCGCCTCTGCACGGATCAGCACTGCAAAGGCTTACACCTTATTGGGTCTGAATCACCGTAAGCCCAACTAGGCTGACTGCCTCTCTACAGAAAATGCAAATTGGTACTAGGCCTCGCGTGCTGGGTTCGTTATGGAGCATATAGGCCTGTAGGCTGGATAAACCTTGGGAATTTTGGCGGTGTCGTGTTCGTTCGTTTGTCACCAAACGGCACGTATAGTGAAAAGTACCCTAAGTGTCGTCATACCTTTATTTATTAGGGTGTTGCTATAGGGACCCAAATAGAGGACTCAAGACATGAGACATGTAAGATGTCACCATCCAGTTGCATGATGCACTATTTATGAATAGTGCATCATGCAACCGGATGATAACACCTCACATGTCCCATACCTTAAGTCCTCTATTTGGGTCCTTGAAGCATTAATGTTATTTAAAACCTATGCAGCACACATCCACGACCAATAAGGGCTTAAGATTAAAAGTATCATCATCGTTAAAGTGATAAGCATGTAATCATTTTGCCAAAAATTTAGTTTCTCTTTTTCACACTTTAAACAATGACATGTAGATATTCTAGTTTTTGCGATAATTTTATCTGCCAGAAATTGAGTAAAGTACTTCCTATGTGAAAAATACTCATATTTGATATAGTTTTCTGTGTCAGAACAAATAAAATCTAAGAAAAAGAAAACAGTTTTCTCTGCTAGAATCTACTTCTTTATTATTAAAGGAGAACAACATAAAAGATAAAATGAACAGTAACCCAAGAAACATAGATGAAAAAATAAAATGAATAATCAACCCTACGCATCTCTCTACTCACACGTTCTCCTATGGTTGTTTGGGTCAAAAGTTGAGATTTTCATTGGTGATGAACTCACTACAATTTCAGCCATTACAATAAGTTCAAAAAAAGAAAGAAAGTCGATCTTTTTATAAGATCTCCTTTATACAATAAAAATAAAGATTACAACTCTTGTCAAACAGCGCAACGGACGTTTATCACCTGCTGCTTGCATGAGATCTTTGCCTGTGCCGGGGACGTTAATATCCGTGGACCGCCGCGGATCAGATCCGGTTGACAGATTGATGATCAAAGCTCTTACTTCACGAAGAAAGTAATCGCTGCTGCGGTAATCTCGACCAAGCGAGATTACGGCTCTTCTCGAGATTTAAAACCAAGCTTAAATCCGGAGGAATAGGGGACGGGTCTCAGATCTCTCGAACTCCACTCTTTATGCACATGAGATCGCTAAGATCTGCTAACCCTTACTGTAAACTCGTGGCTCCACTCTCCAATTCGGCAGTGTTTCGCCTTCTTGACCCCCCCCCTAAAATGGAGGTCTTTGGCTCATATTTATAGGTCTCGGATGCGGTTATTTGGATGAGACTGATGGATTTCTCTCTATCTTCAGTTAACAACTATACAACCACAATATCAGATCAGTTGGAACGCCCAGGAATACTCAAATCCCAAAAGAATCCGTCAAAGAACCGAAAAACCCGAATTTTGGCCGAACAGTCACCTGGTGGGCGAAGCTGTTAGCTCCCACTGTGGTCGCCAGCTTGTTTGGGTCAAAAATCGTTGTTTTTATTGTGATTGAATCTATTACAACTTTAATCGTTTACAATAAACTCAAATAAAAAGTTGATCTTTTTATAAGATCTCCTTTATACAATAAAAATAAAGATTACAACTCTTGTCAAACAGCGCAACGGACGTTTATCACCTGCTGCTTGCATGAGATCTTTGCCTGTGCCGGGGACGTTAATATCCGTGGACCGCCGCGGATCAGATCCGGTTGACAGATTGATGATCAAAGCTCTTACTTCACGAAGAAAGTAATCGCTGCTGCGGTAATCTCGACCAAGCGAGATTACGGCTCTTCTCGAGATTTAAAACCAAGCTTAAATCCGGAGGAATAGGGGACGGGTCTCAGATCTCTCGAACTCCACTCTTTATGCACATGAGATCGCTAAGATCTGCTAACCCTTACTGTAAACTCGTGGCTCCACTCTCCAATTCGGCAGTGTTTCGCCTTCTTGACCCCCCCCCTAAAATGGAGGTCTTTGGCTCATATTTATAGGTCTCGGATGCGGTTATTTGGATGAGACTGATGGATTTCTCTCTATCTTCAGTTAACAACTATACAACCACAATATCAGATCAGTTGGAACGCCCAGGAATACTCAAATCCCAAAAGAATCCGTCAAAGAACCGAAAAACCCGAATTTTGGCCGAACAGTCACCTGGTGGCTCGACCTTGGCCGGGCCACCAGAGTCACCTTTCGGTGATTTGGCTTTGGGCCGAACCACTGGTTCGGCCGAGTCATTTTGATGTGACTCGGCCGCCAGCGACTTTTATTGATTTTCCGGGTTTTGACTTGTTCCGTCGTTACGCGTATTTCGTTATTTCGTTGATCTGTAAGCTTCCTCGATTCGCTTTGCATGTTTTGTAAACGCGCGGATCGCTTGACGGTGGATGGTGAGTGTACGGGTTACTTGACGGTGGCCGATGAATATGCGGGCCACTCCAATAAACCTTCTCGACTTGGATGATGATATTTATCGCCACCTCTTCATCTCGAGCCGTATTCGGGAACCTACAGATATTTTTAGACGCCTACAGATACCCCCTCCAAAGTATTTTAGACTTCTCTTTTATAGAAGAATCTGGGATGCTTTGGATATGATAGGCCCCCACCTTTAGTCGGTGTCAAAGGACCTATGAACTGTTTCAATTCTTGACTTCTTCAGCCTTCAGTCTATTCAGTGTTTTGTCGAATAGATGAAGTTCTTTCGGCGCTGTGTTTATCGTCTGACCGTTGTCGAAATCTTGAATCGAAATTGATGAGTTAGTTTTGGCTCGTGTCGTTGAGTTGACTTTGAACTGATTATCTTCGCTGCAACGCGTTGACCGGTGTTAACACGGTTTATACTCGTACGTTTACTGGAGTCTACACAGTTTAAGCTCTTAAGGCATTGGAGCGTGGCGATCCTAAATTTTAGGTTGCAGGACCAACTATTAAAGTTGTTTCGTCTGCAGATATGGATCTTATCCCGAAGTCGTTGGATGCTCAAGTCACGAGACCAACTAATGAAGCTGATACGTCAATGGCTCATATTTATAGAATTTTTGGAAAATTCTTTGCCATCAACGGGTTTGATCAGCCTTTACCGACTACCATTTGAGTCGGGCTAGCATGCAGATTGTTTAGACCCGTTCTGCATGTAACGTTGTGCTAAAAGAATTAACTCTTTTAGTGCTACGATATTGAATATGTAGACTTTATCTTTCTCACGGGAATAGACTACCCGGCAACGTGTGTTAGACGCTGACTTAGGATTTTTGGCAAATCCTCAGCCTTCAACGGATTTGACGTGTCTTTACCGATTACCATTTGAATCGGGTTTGCATGCGGATTGTTTAAGTCCGTTCCATATGTAACGTTATGCTAAAAGAGTTAACTCTTTTAGTGCTACGATATTGAATACGTAGACTTCGTCTTTCTCACGGGAATAGATTACCCGGTAATGCGTGTTAGGCGCTGACTTATCTCTACTTAGGCTTCGGGATAAAAGTCCCCAGACTCAGATTCTGGTGTCTTCTTCAAATGGTGAAAGACTAAACCGGTAACGCGTGTTAGACGTTGACTTATCCCTTCTTAGGATTCGGGATAAAATTCCTTGTGCGTGTGAGGTACGGATTTTGGTGTTATTAATAACAACCTGCCACAATATCGAATATGTGGGCTTTTGTCTTTTTTACTGTAAAAGACGGACTGGCAACGCGTGCTAGGCATTAACTTATCCCTACTTAGGATTCAGGATAAAATTCTCCGTACGTGTGAGGCGTGGATTTTAGTGTTATTAATAACAACCTGCCACAATATCGAATATGTGGGCTTTTATCCTTTTTACGGTAAAAGACTGACTGGCAACACGTGTTAGGCGTTGACTTATCCCTACTTAGGCTTCAGGATAAAATACCCCAGATTGGTATTCTGGTGTCTTTTTCACTTGGTGAAAGACTAAACCGGCAACGCGTGTTAGGCGTTGACTTATCCCTACTCAGCATTCGGGATAAAATTCTCCGTGCATGTGAGGCACGAATTTTGGTGTTATTAATAACAACCTGCCACAATATTGAATATGTGGGCTTTTGTCCTTTTTACGGTAAAAGACTGGCCGGCAATACGTGTTAGGCGTTGACTTATCCCTATTTAGGTTTCGGGATAAAATATCCCAGATTGGTATTCTGGTGTCTTTTTCACTCAGTGAAAGA